TGTGCAAATTCCAAATCAACTAAAACAGCAGAAATGAGTGAGCAAATTTGTGGAAGGATGAACTGCCTTGAAACAAAAAAACAAAACAAAACAAAAACTTATGTGTAATTGTCAAAGCAAACATTTTTTCCTCTGTGTGGTCTGTTGCGCTTTGGCCACAGGTCTACAAATGTGAACCACTGAAGGTCTTGAGTAATCATATCAATTTCTGAGTTGTACCAGCAAATTATTCCCAGGTCCTTTTTCATAATAGCCTCAAAATGATAAAATATTCTGGTTCCTGTATCAAACTCCCTCCTTGTCAGTGTTCACTTAATTCTTTTTTGGGGGGAGGGGGGAGGGGGTTGATTGCTTTGCTAGAACTGTATTTTTCAATGAAAATGCAAAAGCGCTATTACAAAACCTCAGATATTGTAATTCTGGTCTCCCCCCCCCAATGATCTAAGAACAGTGGTTCTCAACCTGTGGGTCGGGACCCCATTTGGGGTCGAATGACCATTTCACGGGGGTCACCAAACCATGCTGTCCGCCATTTTTTTCCCTTTTCCCTAGCTGTCCTATTCCCTCTTATTAGTGGCCACACCCACTTGGGGGTCACCACAACATGGGGAACTGTATTATGGGGTCACGGCATTAGAAAGGTTGAGAATCACTGATCTAAGAAGCTAGCCTGCAGATTCTATCATTTTAAGAAAGAACAATGAAAAATGCCACAAATCCTTAGATGAAAAGATTGTGAGGACTGAAAATTATGTTACGGAAGCCTATTTATTTATTTATGTATATATTTATTTATTTATAAACATGATTTTAAAAAATTCTATATAAATAACATTTAACAAAAAATTACAGAGTATGGTCTTCAGAGCTAAGGATACAAAAAGTTTTCAAAGGCTGAAAGTGCTTGTTTCTGGTCCAGAAGATTCCTGAATACTTTAAAAAAAGAAAAACCTGTCCCATAACCTGCCATAGTTTAATTCTGGGTTGCAGAAATAGAAGTTTTATGTCCCGTGGCATCTATAGGCTATCAAAATATGTCAGAATGTTGCATGTGACCACAAGATGGAAGCTCCATTCCATTTCTGCCTGTGTGCAATGTGTATGCTGCACATGGGGCTTTGCTTGCTGTTATAGCCATTTTGATTCCTCTGCAGGCCCCCATGTTTACAAACTAACTCTGAAAACTTTTCTTGGAAATATCAGAGCATTAACAAAAGTTTTTAATTGCACTAAAGTTGTTAATGGAAATGAAAATAGTGGAGAAATTACATAAACTATATTTTGACTTAATTTTATATTTATCCTTAGTTTTCATCCTACCAAGACTATCCTTGAGAATGTGTCTCCTATCATGACTTTCAAAAGCCAAGTGTGACTTTCAGCCCAGAACATTGTTTTTGTAATGATTGAAATGTACTGTATATACTTGCCAATTTATAACTACCATTTTCCCCAATAATCCAGTTCACAATTTAAACTAATTTCATTACACATTTATAAGTAAAATTCAACATTCACATACTTAATAAAATATTTATTATGAAAACTGAATTGTAATTGTACAATTTGATATGAATTACATACAGTACAATGAAAACCAAAATATTGCATATAATAAATTCTAATGTTGCCAAAATATAAATTGTATACAACCAGCATCTCTATCCATGAGTCCAAGTAGTCCTAGGCTAAGAGTGGGACTGCAATGTGCATTCTCAACATTCAGCAATGTTATGTAGGTCCTGGGAACAATTATAGCTGCAGTGTTTTTAACTTTAGAGAGAGTATATGGCTGAAACAACCTAATAATGTGCCTGTAGCATATGGCTAAATATATTTTTAGCAAAATGAATGTTTACAATACAGATACAAGAAAAACAAAACAATTCTAAACAATGCAATGCAAAATACGACAATGTTAAACAACAAAGTTGTTCTACAAAAAACTGAACACATATCAGGCCACAGAATAGAATTACATTCTTCATAGTCAGTCACCTTTCTGAAATAATTATTAAAACCTATAGCCAGCATTGTGTTAATCATTTTGTTAAGGCATATCTACAGTAAGTTAAATCATGAAATCTTCGTTTGAATGGCTGATTCCTTATGGACCTTTAATATGTTAGTATTTTATTAGGCACTTCTGCCAGAAGGAAGGAAGGAAGGAAGGAAGGAAGGAAGGAAGGAAGGAAGGAAGGAAGGAAGGAAGGAAGGAAGGAAGGAAGGAAAGATTAAAGCTAAGGTCCCACAAGAGGCAATCTCTGTAAATAGGTCAGATGAAACTTAGAAAAGCTACATGGGATACAAGTACACGTACGTGCGCACAACATAAAAACAACATAGGCAATTTGCACATATGATATCTTTGCTGAGGTGCACATTTATTTCACTTTGCATTTAACATGCGTGTGTGTGTGCAGGCCCTCCTTATATAAGTTGCCTTTTATATACTATACAGGCAAAATAAAATCATGGTGACATTTTAGTCTATGCAAAGAGTATAAGTCATGAAAAGCAGAAGAGGATCACTTTTGCACATGGCCCATAAAGATCATTTAGAGGTCCAGGTAAATGGCCCATGCCCAGTTTAAATAAGAAATGTAGACACAGACTTACACTATTGGTTTAGTAACCACAGAAAGAAAACTTGGCCCTACTGGATCTAAGGCAAAGAAAAAGCTGAATCAGCCACACACTTCATGTAGTTTTGTGCATTATGGTGAGTTTGAAGCTACTTGAAACCAATAAGGTCAATTGTTGCAATGGCTATCTGAAGGTAAATTATGGCAATGAGACTTAGCATTAATGATAGCTAATTTATGCATTCAAGATATGCTTTTATACATAACTGATTAGAGCTGTCTTTTCCTAAAATAATGTAAGCCAAAAAATGAATGCACGTGGATTCAACATGTGTAGCTATAATTCACATCCATCCTACCTCTTCAAATAATATAGATAAGGATTATTTTTCTCCCCTTTCACTAAGAGCTGTACCTAGCATCTGAGGGCCACAGGGAATGTGATAGTTGTGTGTGGACAATGGCAGAGTCTGTGAGGAAAAACATTCAGCCCTTTTTCAAATGGGGAGGATGGTGGTCCTGGGAGGGAGTGATACAAGAGCCTCCAAAGCATTAACACATCTACAGTATTTTAAAACTTAACTTGGTAGATTATCAAAAGTGAATTTCAAAGGTAGGGGTCCTTCTAGATGGCTGCAAAAATAGGTATGGGAATTATATCCTGCCTTAAGGCTCTCTGTCATTAATACTTTTGTATATTTTTGTATACGTTTGTATACTTTTGTATATTTTAATTAATGACTAAAATTATAAATGACAAAAATAATGTCTGTGAAATATAGCAATGGAGTAAACTATGTTTATTTTAGTGTGGCATAAAAGTTAAATGGCTTCAGGACAACAGAAAATATTGACAATTTTAGCATATTAAAATAAAATGTGCTTTAGGTTCACTCATTTAAAGAGCAAAACTCTTTAAATGTTTTCACATTAATGCACATGTTGCTAGCCACAGAATGAGGCTGATCTTGCAGGTATGACTATCTTAGGTCTAATAATTTGTGATTTTTATTCTTTGCAGAACTTTAAAAAGGTGATAATGAAACTATTGATCTTGCTACTTTTTACAAATACATTTTAATATGAAATATTAACCTGAATTATTGTATAATTTATATACACAAATATCTAACACCATAACTGACTACTACATCATTTTTTCAGGAGGATATTTTTAATACAATCACTTTTATTTTCAGTATAAGCACACTTGTTTCTAATTATCCTAAGAAACATCACGTAACTCAAATTTACTTAATAGTAGAAATAGAAATTAGGTTTTAGTTTCTGATGTATCAAGTTGATGAAATGACTTGAGAGTTTTAGTTTTTGGCATGTGAAAAAACAAAACAAAATCCTGCATTGACAAAAAGCCAGGTTCATCACTGAGATGATTTTTTTTAAATGTGCAAAATAAATAACGACAATACATTAAAAATGATTTAACACAGGAAATTAAAAACAACTTCTAAGTAAACTTATAATCAAATGTAGCCCACATGCTACATGCTACATAGACCATAGCATGATGGAAGTCTGTGTGGTTATCAAACCTGTGCTATTGTCAGTTGGTAGAGTTGCTCACAAAGATAATTAGAATATCTAAATTGTTTACATTATGATGGAATACAATATGCAGTTAATTGGATGCTTTCTCTCCATAATGATTTAGTTCTTTATCTATACTAAAACTGCTTTTTTTCACTTGGTTCATAATTATACATACATGAGAGAATATAAAAGTGATTTCCCATAAGAATTATCACTCTATTCAAAGTATCCCCCAAACTGCCTTATATTGCTGTTCTAATTGTCACCCATGAAAAAAATATTAGACCCTGTAGGTATAAGCTTTTTTTTTTTTTTGGACCTAGACATTTGAATTTCAAACACTGAAAATTTCAAGCTTTCAAAAGTTTTCTGGGAATGTAATGTAATGTAATGTAATGTAATGTAATGTAATGTAATGTAACAGGCTATGCTTGCCATGATTCTATGCAGAATTTTATAATGAATCTCTAAAATTCTGGATAGAATCCTGGCATGCTTACATGGGTCATATATTTTTTTCATGGGTGACAATTAGAACTGCAATAGAAGGCAGTTTGGGGGATACTTTGAATAGAGTGGTAAAAATATTTAAGCATTGTTTGTGCATTCACCTTTTAGGTCTGACATAAATTCAGTCCTAAAAGAAGAAAAAGTTCCCTAATCAGCTTCATCTCCACAAAGAAAGTTGGGAGTTAATGCTTCTACATTACCACTCCAATTACTGTGTGCTGAGAAATCTGACATTTGTTGTTAGTTGCGAAGTCATGTCCGACCCATCGTGACCCCATGGAAAACATTCCTCCAGGCCTTCCTGTCCTCTAATATCTTCTGGAGTCCATTTAAGCTCACGCCTACTGCTTCAGTGACTCCGTCCAGCCACCTCATTCTCTGTCGTCCCGTTCTTCTATTGCCCTCAATCTTTCCCAGCATTAGGCTCTTCTCCAGTGAGTCCTTCCTTCTCATTAGGTGGCCAAAGTACTTGAGTTTCAACTAATCTGACATAACCATCTATAACTGAATGTTCTATGTGAACTCTCCCAGACTAGCATTAGAAAGATGAAAACCAGGAATAATCCAGAGGGCTTCAGTGCATGTAAAAATCTGTCTTAAGGGATTTTTTTTTTGGGCAAACAAGAAAACATTTGTGTTTTGTAAAACGAAAAGTGGAAATGAATATTTTATTGTAAATAATGTTAATTATAATGTATGATTATGATCCAGTGACTGCAAAGATTAGACTGAATTTTGGTCTTCACAGGTCCAGATTACACTATTAAGGAAAATTCTAGCAAGTCTTACTTTGAACAATAAAATTGAAGCATGCTGATCAATAGAAGAATTCCAAAAACTTACAATAGTGTTTGTGCATGTATTATTTCTTGAAACAGTTTCAATATAATGTTTATTTAGGACATTTTAGATTCCAGATAAAATATTGAAGTATTTATAGATTTAATCAGCTTTTCCTTAACATTTCTAATGTGTTTTTGGTAACATTAAAATAAACTCAGACCATAAGAAAAAGATTTTTTTTTAAACAGTGTTGACAACATGATGGACAATTCAAATTCAAATTCACCATGCTAGTGATGACATGTGCAAAATAAATTTGCTAAAAATGGCAGAACTGAGAAGTCAAGCTGTTTTTCCCAGCAACTTATTTTTGTTGCCCAGTGATAAAAGTTATGAACACTTTTACTTCAACATTTGCTCTAAGAAACAACTCTATAACAATTACTGGATTTCACTGTGACTCGATTACCTTTCTTGAAGCTAAAATATTGTATTCCTACACAACATTGGGAACAATAGATTCTTGCAGGTCAGTGCAGTTTAGTATATCCTTTGGTCCAATTTACATATTAACACCATCTCATTTTAAATATTAAAAAAAGACAGACGCTGAATGGCCTAGCAATAGAAAAAGTAGGAATACTAATTTCCTAATGACAATTGGAACTACCGATTACCAAATTGTTGGAAAAAAGAGACATAGACTTGCATTTTTCACTAAAAATGGGCAATTCTATTTTTGCAGTTCCATTCAGAAAGATCTCCACACAGCCATTTTCAACACTTGTGTTTCATGGCAAGCTGCAGAGGGGAAAAAGAAGAGAACATATTAAGATACTTATTTGCAATTCTAGCCACAACTCTGATTTCTTAGGATTTGAAAAATACTGAAAATAGAAAGCAAAATAGAATCATGTCTGCAGAACTGTAATAAAAATTAAACTTACTCTTGCTATTATATTAAGAGCTAATGATACTGAAATAAAAGTAAGGCATCTAGTTTGGTTTACAGGTTCATTTAGTGACCAAAGTTACAATATCATGGAAAAAAGTGACTTATGACCGTTTTTCACACTTACAGTCATTGCAGCATCCCCGTGGTCACGTGATCAAAATTCATATGCTTGGCAACTGACTCATATTTATGACGGTTGCAGTGTCCCAGGGTCATGTGATCACCTTTTGTAACCTTCTGACAAGCAAAGTCAATGGGAAACCAAATTCACTTAACAACCGTGTTAGTAACTGAACAATTGCAGTGATTCACATAACATCTGTGGCAAGAAAGGTCATAAAATGGAGCAAAATTCACCTAACAAATGTTTCACTTAGCAACAGAACTTTTGGGCTCAACTGTAGTCATAAGTCGAGAACTCTACTCTGTTTGAATGACAGTTCAAACATGCTGAAAATGAATTAGGATAAACAAGGAAAGATACATTATTAGTGCTAAACAATACTGAATTTACAACAATCTGAAGTGCTATTTAAAAACACATTGGTTTCTAGATATTTTAAGCCAATTCTAACTTAAAGAAACACTATATTGAAGCAAGGAAGTGTAGTTTTTCTTCGCTCTTGTTCGAGCGCAGACCTAACCCAAATTACATATAACTCTGTGGTGCAAACTTAGTATAAACCATAGTTTCAGCTTCTGGATACGTTATCATACCAGATTGATTCATATAAGAAATAAAGAAGAAGGGTTACAGGGATTGGGTATGTCTATTTTAATGAAAAGAAAGACTAAGGATGATATGATAGCAGTGTTCCAATATTTAAGGGGTTGCTATAAAGAAGAGGGGGCCAACCTATTCTCCAAAGGACCTGAAGGCAGGACAAGATTAGAGTTTGGACTCTAATCAAGGATAGAATGAACTTAGATCTAAGGACAAATTTCCTGATAGACCAATTAATAAGAAGAATGGCTTGCCTCCAATAGTTGTGGGTTCTTCCAAACTGGAGATTTTTAAGAAGAGTTTGGACAGCTATTTGTCTGAAATGATATAGGATCTCCTGCTTGAATGGGGGGCTGGACTAGAAGACCTCCAGGATCCCTTCCAACTCTGTTATTGTTATTCTGATTCAATTCTTGGAACCATTCAAGGAAAGGGAAAAAAACATTTTGTCATAATCACATTTTCCCAAACTATCCTTTGGAGGATTTTCTGAATGCAGTCACAAAAGAATTCAAAATATGGACAAATTCTTAGCAAAGTTGCCAGTGTTGCAAGCAGTAGTGATAGAATTAATACAGTGTTCACATATTTTAATATTTGGCCTTGAGAATAGGACTGGAGTCTTTTCAAAGTAACACTAAAGCTGAAGGGATGCTTCTTATAATTACCAAGCTGTATATAATATCATTTGACCATCTAATTTAGTGTTAGCTGTGTTGCCTGGTATATGTTTTTAAAGCATAATCCTTGTATCAATTATTGGAAATATCAGCAATTAATATTTGCATTTACTTGCATCAGTAGGTGAAGTCAACCATTTTTTTTGTCCTGTTGGCTCCATTTTCAGGTGTTTGAGAATGAAACCGGGCCATTTGTAGGCTAAAGAAGAGCCATTCCCATCTACTACAATATTTTTCTTTTCTTCTACTTGAATATTTGAAATAATCAGAATAGAAGGCAAGTAAACAGCTGCATCTTTCAATTATCAGCTTCAGTTATATTGGCAAGGGTTCATCTGGCTATTTTAGATGCGCACAGCACAGCTTATTCTTGAGAAGTGCCAGGAAATATCTCTCATCACATCTCCCCTACTTAACTGCAAAATTAACTTGACATGCAGTCACCTAGTATAAAGCAATCTAAGATCTCATTACAACATTTAAAGAGTGCGATTCAAGGAGTCAAAAATGTCTCATAGCATTTTTGCCATTTCTTTTGAAGCAATGCTTTTTAATAGACTCCAGTATTAAAGAAAAAAATACAAACAATTATCTTATATTCTTTTTTTTTTTTTTTTAGAAAAAAATAACATAAATTTTCAGAGTCTTTTTCCAGTATAGGTTTACTTTCAGGCATTTCACAGATAAATATTTCCTACCACATATAACCCAATAATTTGTATAAATAATTGGCTTCTGCAACAGTGATTCTGAAGTCATTTTATGTCCATATCATAATTTGCAAACATTTTAATTTTAAGATTTTTTTTGCCAGGCAGATTGGTAAGGCAATACAAATATACAACACACACACACACACAGAGAGAGAGAGAGAGAGAGAGAGAGAGAGAGAGAGAGAGAGAGAGAGAGAGAGAGAGAGAGAGAGAGAGAAGGATAGAAAGAGAGAGAAACAGATACAGAAACTAACACAAATAGGAAAAAGGCTTGTGTTCAAGCCATAGCTGAGTCAGTTATAGTATTACAAGATCCCTACCATAAATTTTCGGGAAATCTTAGTTGCAGCTTGACATTTGTGTCTGATGATTACTAATTTTGCCTACAGAATTCTCTAAGACAGTATAAGATACAGGCACAGCTTGAATCCTGTTCACATGTATTTCTCTCCAGTTTTCGTGCCACAAGCCTGGACACACTATTTAGACATCAAGTTGGTCTAAAATGGATTTTTCTTCTTCTTCTTTTTACATTCTGTGGCTGTAAAATAAACTAGGAAACACCTAGCTCTGTTATTTTAATTATGAATTGTGTGATGTGTTTCAAATAATCTGCATCTCAAAAATGTTCTAAAGTATTTGGAGATCTTGAATGTTTTTCTTCAATAAATATCCATAACTAAATGATAGAAATTATAATTATAGGAAGCAAATAGATGTTTATCTGGAAGCAACAATCTTGCTTCATAATTGGGTATTTCAGTTGCCAATATATTCCATATCAGTATTGTCACCATACCATGATTGCAACCATGAAATTAAAAGATGCTTGCTCCCTGGGAAGAAAGTAATCCTAGACAGCTTACTAAAAAGCAGAGACATCACCTTGCTGACAAAAGTCTGTATAGTCCAAGCTATGGTTTTCCTTGTAGTTATGTATGGCTGCAAGAGTTGGATCATCATGAAGGCTAAGCGCTGAAGAAACTGATGCATTTGAATTGTGGTGTTGGAGAAAACTCTTGAGAGTCCCTAGGACTGAAATGAGATCATATCAGTGAATCCTAAAGGAAACCAACCCTGACTGTTCTTTGGAAGGACAGATATTGAAGCTGAAGTTGAAATACTTTGGCCATGTAATGGCAAGAGGGGACTCATTGACTGAAGGCAAAAGGAGATGGAAATGACAGAGGTTGAGATGGTTAGATAATGGCATCGACCCAATGAACGTGAAGTTAGGCAAACTTTGGAGATAGTGGAGGACAGAGGAGTCTGGTGTGTTATGGGGTTGTGAAGAATCAGGTACGACTTAGTGACTGAACAACCACAACTGTACTTTACTATCTACAGCCACCCAAGATTTTCTACTATTTTAATGATGGTTATTCAAACATAATAACTGATATTTGGATTTACTTCAAAGTTAATATGATTTGCATTGCAATTAATATAACTCTGGGATCATTCAGATAATAGTTCTGACATATGTATTTTGATACATTTGAGTGAAAATATCAAAGAATGTACTGAAAAACAATTGCCCAGTGAAGAACCAACAATATGGGGAAAAGCTAAGATATTTCAAACCTGATTACTGGATTGGGTTACATGTTGCAAATGTGTCACATTTCTATTAATTCAATAAGATTTTTCTTTACATCTCCCCAAATGAATGAGAAGTCTCCAGCTTTCCACTTCCATGATATTTAAAAAAAAGTAGAAGAAAGGGCAAAATTATGTCCCATTCTGGTAGCTGAAACTGCTTCTGCTAATGGAAAGATATGCTTGGGTTCTACTCCAAGTGCTTAAAAATAAAATTCTATGGGGATAAAGAGTAGAGAGACGAAACTAGAGAAACTAATAATTAAACTAAGAAACTAGAGACAATAGTCATAGATAGGTCTTTTGTTATCTGAAAGGGTGGCCTCATCACACAGAATGTGGTAGATGACTGAGCCCGAGGGAGGAATCAAATGTTGTCTTGAGTCTCTTCATGCCCACAAGAGTTCTAAGTCCAGCCCACTTTGAATTCCACACTCTTATCTACCATCAATTTGCATTGACTGTTAGTAGTTCAGGTTCTTGTAGAAAGCTTAAGCTTGCAATAAACCTTCATATTCATTTGAACTGACTGGATTTCCTGATTTCCCTGGCATATGACACAAGCCAATGAAATATAAAGTATGAGGACATACAGGGACCATATAGGGAAAACAGGCCCATCATCTTGGCCTTCAGGAGGGTTCAATTTATCCACTATATTTTATTATATGAATAATCAGTAATTTTAGATGCTTGAAGAATATCAAGTGAAACACTTTGAAAATTAGCTACTTTTTCATAGTGTTAATTCTATTAATAAAATGTTGACATTTGCCAGTAAATGCCAATTCTGTCTCTATCCATCTAAACACATGCCATATTGCTTGAGAGCTGTCATCTCATCATCAATGTTTATGATTCAGACTTGGCTGTAAATATTAAAAATTCAAGAAAAGCACAGCACTTTTTCATTGAGGATCTTTTTTTTTCTTTATTTCCTCTTTTATTGCTTTGGGTATCGAGGGAGATATTCCTATCATTGAGGATGGGAAATTTTAATTAATACTATCCCAATTTATGAAGTTTTCTAAGGCCAGTATGTTCTTTCAGTGGAAACAGAAATACACTTGCTTCTTCAATAATGTCTGCTCTAAGATACAATCTTTTATGCAAAATCAAGGAAAGGAAAAATTGAGTTCTGACAATATGTTAGAAATACATACTGAAGGAACTAGAAGAGCAGAATGAGGACCATTACTCTTCAATATCTTCATAAATGACTTAGATAAGGGAATAGAATGGTAACTCAACAAATCAAAGATAACACTAAGCTGGCAGGAATAGCCAACACCCCAGAAGACAAGCTCAGGATCCAAAAAGATCTTGACAGACTTGAACAATGGGTCCTACCCAACAACATGAAATTTAATGTGGAGAAAAGCAAGGTTTTACACTTAGGCAGGAGAAACCAAAGATACTTGTACAGAGTAGGCAAAACCTGGTTCAAAACCAGTAACTGTGAGAGGGACCTTGGAGTCCTCGTGGATGATCACTTAAACATGAGCTAGTAGTGTGCAGCGGTAGCCCAAAAAGCTAATACAATCCTTGGTTGTATAAACAGAGGCATAGAATCAAAATCATGTGAAGTATTAGTACTGCTTTATAAAACCTGGAATACTGCATCCAGTTTTGGTCACATTAAAAAAATGTTGAGACTTTGGAAAAAGTGAAAAAAAGAACAACTACTATAATTAAAAGCCTGCAAACAAACATATGAAGAATGGTTGCAGGAATTGGGTAAGGCCAGCCTAGAGAAAAGAAGGACTAAGTATTCCAGTATTTGAGTGGCTGCCATAAAGAAGAGGGGATCAACTTATTTTCCAAAGCACCAGAAGACAAGAAAAAATGGATGGAAACTAATCAAGGAGAGAAGCAACCTGGAATTAAGTAGAAACTTCCTAACAATTAGGATAATTAACCAGTGGAACAGCTTGCTTTCAGAAGTTGTAAGGGCTTCACCATAGGAGGTTTTTAAGAAAAGACTGGACAGACATTTATCTGAAATGGTATAGGATCTCTTGCTTGAGCAGGTGGTTGGACTAGAAGACCTCCAAGGTGCCCTCCAGCTCCATTTTGATTGAACAATGGGTTGAAATGAATAGGATGGAATTTACATAACATATAATTCAACTTTGGAATTTAGTACTATAAGATGTGGCACTTACTATCAGCTTGGCTGGCTTCAAAAATGGGTTGGATCTATTCATGGAGAGCCCTGATGGAAGTGTGATGGCCTCTGAAGGCTATCTGTGATGTGACTATTGGGTACATTTGTGCAGGTAGTTGGCTACTGTGAAGACAGACTGCTGGACTAAATTGGCCAGGGATCTGATCCAGTAGGGTACTGCTTATATTTTTAAAGGCATAAATACAATGTTACAGTATATATCAGAGTGGCAAAAATGTAAGGCATAAATATAGGATGGGGGAAATCTGTCAAAAGTCTCTGGAGGTCTGGAGTAGTTGCAAATTAAATATGAGTTGATAATATAATGCGGCTGCTAAAAAGGAAAATGTATTAATAAGGACACAGAGATCATGAGAAGTAATTGTGCCTTTTTGCTTTGTACTGGTAAGACCTCATATGAAAATATCTAGCAATAGAAAATGTACCACCATATGTAGTGGATCCATTGTGTCTAAGTCTGCAACCATGGTTCAAAAAGGACAGTGACCAGTCGCAACAAGTTCAGGGGACAGCTACCATGAATCATAAACCAAGTCCTATAAAGAACAGTTAAAAGGATCTACAGTAGATAGGTTTAGCCTACTGGAATGATGACTGGGGAGAGATATAAAACAATAGCTTCAAATATCTGAAGAATTATCAAACAAAGGAGAACAGTTATTCTATATTGACCCAGATGTCAATAAGTTAAAAATATGAGAGAACAGATTCAGGCTAGACATCAGAAGGATTGTCCCGCCCACAATATATGATCTGTCAACTGTGTGTGATGGTAAGGTCTCTATTGCTAGAGATTTTCAAACATATGCAGATAGTCATTTGTGAGACATGCTGTACTGGATCCTGCACTACCAATGGGGTTTGAATAGATTTTCATTGAGATATCTTCCAACTCTATGCATCTATGAAAATATAATGTAGTGAAATGAAGTGAAATGCTTGATATTTGTAAGTTCCTGGGTTGTAGCTTACAATATTCTACTTGAATGCAGCATAGAAAACAATGTAACAATGAGTGACATGAAGAAGAATGCTATAAAACAGCACCTTAATAGTTTAAACCCAGACCTATCCATAATTTAAATTACTCCATAAAAATATTCTCAGTCAGTAATAGTATCTCATAAAGCCTATGAATGGCTATCACTATTGCCCCGTTCTGTAGGATTCTTATTATTTATTATGAAGCAGTGATTTTTAAACTGTACTCTGAGGAATCTCAGGATCATGAGTGGCCACTTAAATGAAACATAAACAAGAGTGGATAAGTTTTCTTAAAAGAAAGCATGTTCAGCAGCAATTAATTTTTCTTAGAGCACACAGCTGCTGACATACCCACAGTTTGTCAGCCAGTTACAAATCCATTTGAAATAGGACAACTTTAAATTCAAGAGCTTATCCATTTTCAGAAGAACAGATTTGATGTATCCACAGGCTCAATTGTATTTTGTGTCAAGATGGAAAATTATTAAAAGCAACTTGATTTGATGTGGGGTCATATCAGCGGATCTTAATACTGAGGGAGCAATATCTAATACAATATTATATTTCCTTCAGTGCCAACTTAGCCAATAGTTGGACTTGGACTCTGTCATATCCATATTAAGTTATCTCCTTGCAGCCTGGTTCATACTGATATTATTGTTTTAAATTGAATGTTACTTGTTTCATGAGTGTTTATACAACAGAAAAAGAAGAAATAAATATGATAATACCAACTTAAAGGAATACCTTGTGTGCAGTTTCTGCAAAATGCTGAGCGCTGTTTTTCATGTCCTCTGTCTTTTCTTCAGTTCGACTTAATCTTTCACCGCGCTCATTCAAAGCCTGGCTTGCTTTCTGTACTGCACTTGTCACGCTGTCTGCTGCCGAATGTAATATGCTGTTTCCTGAAACACATCACACGTGGTTGGAATGCATGTCTTATTTTCTGAAACATGTAGCATAGCGAAACCTGGATGAATTATGAATGGAAATTTTTTTTTTTAACTTCACTTGATGCAAATGACTTTGTTGCAGTAATTCTAACAAAGATGGCTTTAGGCTCTAAGGCAAGAATATCCAATCTTGGCAACATTAAGACCTGTGGACTTAAAAAACCTGGCTGGGGAATTTTGGGAGTTGAAGTCCAGAGGTTTTAAAGTTGCCAAGGTTGGACACTCCTAATCTAGGGAGAGAATGTTTGTTTCCCACTCTGTAATATGAAATCATATAGGCTGACCTCCAAATAAAATAAACCATACAAGGATTATTATCAGGAAAATCTCTCTATTCTTTTCTAAATTCTACTATTGCATTGTATCCAACAATCATACATTTTCCTCTTCCAACACTTCTTTTTCAAGTTTTCTTTATACAATTCCCCAATACAATACATTTCTATGCAGAAGCCCAAATATGCAAAATAAGGTTTACCCCAAGATAAGTGGATATAGATGTCAGGGTTCCTATAAATGAAACCCATCAAAAGAACTTCAAGGCAAGAATTCTTCCTTAAAGAACATTTTATTAGGATACACAGCACTACATAGTTGAACCCGAAACTAAATTCTCTTCCCCCAGATACAAAGTAACAAGTTGCAATTCCAACCCCCCCCCAGCAGTCATAAATCACATTCTCCAATTAGCTTGAAACGTGGGCTCCCTCTCCAGCTCCTCAGCCTCCCAAAATGTTATCGGTTTGTGTCCTTGAGTTCCCACAAAGCGGCATTATTATTATGGCTAGCATTCACCCCACCCCTTCTATATCTGATTCCTAAACAGCAGAAAAAGAACGCTAAATGCTGAGTAAAAGTGGCTGCAATTTCCTTAGTTGTCAGAGCGGGACCATCCATTGTCACAGCATTGACAATAGAATTATTTCTATAAAGTTAATTAGAGCTGATTTTTATACCTATATTTATTCCATTTGGAGTTATTTTTTGTGTCAAAATCCCTTTTTGATCTCAAATAATAATAATAATAATAATAATAATAATAATAATAGTAATAATAATAAAGTTGGAAGGTACCTTGGAGGTCATCTAGTCCAACCCCCTGCTCAGGCAGGAAACCGTACACCATTTCGGACAAATGGCTGTCCAGTCTCTTTTTAAAAACTTCCAGTGTTGACTTCCGGTTCTGGGTTGCAATGTGTGCAGTCATACGAAGAGACTTCTCTCTTAGTTGCCCGCTTTTCCTCTGCCACTAGACCCTTAATTGGATTGAAAAGTCGCCCTGGAGGGGTGACTACTGATGAGGAGGACTCTCATTGATCACGGGGGAGGAGGCAGCTCCTTCCGCGATCCGAGGCAGCTCCTCAGAGTCGACGGAGAAAAGATCAGCCAGTAACACGGCCGATCATTTAGGTGCTCCAGCCAAAAGTCAAAAGAACATCTAAGCATTAAGAAACCATCGTGGATGATCCCGGTGAGACTTTTCCCTCTCTCTCTTTGCCTAACTACTCTCCTGTAAAAAGCCTTTTGGAATTACTTCCCTGCTTTGAAAGAGCTGCCTTTGTCTATTTGGGAAAAAGAGCTTTCCATAACAAAGGGAAAAAAAGTTAACTTTTTATTGACTATTTTTATTTTTGGTTACTTGGGGGCCCTGGAAAAATCCTTATCATAGAACTTTATTATTATATCTTCTAAGCTGGAGAATATTGTTTTCCTAGGTCTTGGACTTATTTTTTTAAAGGGATAAATCTTTGTTTGAAAAAAAAACACAACTCTATGAGAAGCCGGAAAAGAGATTTTACAGCTCTCTGAGTTTAATAATATCATTTTTGGTGTCTGGAAGAGACTTTCATAGTTTACTGAGGACATCTTGTGGAGAAATTTAAAACTGCAACTGTCTTTTTTTTTTTTTTTTTGGTCTAATGATGAGATTGGCTTTGATCTTCAGACCATCATAAAGGAAAAGGAAAAGAATTCAACAGCTGTTATTTGTGGGGGTGAACACTGACTAACTGTTTTGAAATACAGCCTCCATTAAAAGATAACAGGATTGGTCTTAGTTATGATTGAAATGGAAAAATCTTATTTACAACTCAACTGTAAACTCATACTAGATAAAATCTATGAAGCTACTGAGGAAATATGTTTCCAAATAAGAGAGAGTACTACAGAAATAATAAACAGAAATTCTACTGTGAACTTACAAACCGACCTTCAGACTCTATTTGATCATTCTACAGACCAAAAAGCAAGAGAAGAGGAATTAATTTACACTAAAGATTCTATCTCATTCTACATACAACCTATTGAGACTTTGAATGACCAAAAAATGATTGTAACTAAACTATCTGCAATTGCAAAACTAACAGAAACGGACTTGAAATTACAACTGTTGGAGAATTATGACAACTTTGATAATCAAATACTAACTATAAAATTGGACATGATCGAGTATTTTATTTAGCAGACAGAAGCCAGGCATCAAAAACAGAGGGTGGGAGGTCTTTTACTGAGCCAAATGACATTACAAGCAATAATGGGAGATCTATTTGCTGAAACAGAGGCATTGTTATGGAAACTTGTTTGGCATAAAAAGAAAGCCAGAATAAGACTAAAAAGACAAATTTAAAATTATATGTATGGATTAAAAAGGTTTTGAGAAATACGGATTGAATTAAGGATTAAGATTTAGAGTTGAAAATCTGTGATTATTAGAATATATATGTTAAACAGAGTAAGAATGTATTTTTTGTATGAAAAATAATTTGTATGAAAATTATTTTGTAATGGAATGAGAATAAGAATATGAAAGAGGTTTTTAGCAATTTGAATTGATTTAACAATTAATTGAGTATGTTAAGTTAGTAAGATGATGTTTTGTGTAATAAACATGTTTATTTATTTATTTATTTATTTTAGACATGATAACTATTTGGATGAGATTTAAATGCTATCTGAAGAAATAAGAGAGATTTGTGATAAAATCAATGATTTATGAGATTAAGAATTAGAATATATCTGGATTTGTATTTTAGAAGGGATACCCGAAGTGATAATATGTTTATCTAAGATTAAATTGGACTATGGTAATAAAGTTCAAAAACAGGATTAGAATTTATAGAAATGTAATGTAGAAATGGATTATGTTAACTAGGTTATATTATTTGAGGGAAATAGAGAGGGAACATTTAATGTATTTACTCGAGGTATTATATAATTTTGTTTCTGGATGATTGATCACCCATGTCTTGAGTATTCTGTTGTAAAAGTTAAAAAACCATAAAATTTGTTATATATTTCAGTGTTGGAGCATTCACCACTTCTGGAGGCATGTTGTTCCACTGGTTAATTGTTCTGACTGTCAGGAAGTTTCTCCTTAGTTCTAGGTTGCTTCTCTCCTTGATTAGTTTCCATCCGTTGCTTCTTGTCCAAGCGCTCTGGAGAATAGCTTGACAGCTACTTCAGAATATTTACTTTTTAAGTAATTATTTATTTCTAATGTTTACTTTTAAATAAGGAGCTTAGGACTGTATAAATATAATTTTATTTTTATTATCATTTCTTATACAAACTAATTCCTTTAATTTCCGAGTGCTGGGTTGAATATTAAACTGCTTAATGGCAGCATGGTCTGAACAGAATGGAATGCTCTTCTCTATGAAAATGAAGAAAAAATATTTTTCTGCTCCTATTCCAATTCTTTTTTCACTAATAGGACTTCTTGCAGTGTTCGGTAGGACCCACCAACTCTCCAAAGAAAAGCTTCAGGAGAGATACAGTGAATGAGGAATCAAATAAAATTCCATCCTCCCTGTTCAATTGAGATATTTCATTTTAATCATCTTAAATTAAAATGCACTTTTGTAGACAGAAACAATTTTGAGAAAAATGACCCTGGGTTCAATTTCTGATGCTAGGTGCTTCAGCGCTATATAAAAAGGGTTGTTTTGTTTTTTTTTTTTAAAAATGCATTTGTCTGAAAATATAATTAATTTTCCATCAAATCTTTACATCAGGCAATAATCAGTTTCTGTAAACCCAATGTGTTTGCTAAACATTCTCTGCTGAAGCACGTATTGCTAACAAAAGGTTACAACTTCTGCATGATTTGAGCTGCAGACAGGCTATCTTACAGATTTTCAAATCTGAAGGAGGCACCTGTTATAATAATAATAATAATAATAATAATAATAATAATAATAATAATAATAATAATAATAATAATAATAATAATAATAATAAAACAACAACAACAACAACAACAAAAAGTTGGAAGGGACCTTGGAGGTCATCAAGTCCAACCTCCTGCTCAGGCAGGTAACCCTATAACATTTCGGACAAATGGCTGTCCAGTCTCTTCTTAAAAATTTCCAGTGTTGGAGCATTCACTGCTTCTGGAGGCAGGTTGTTCCACTGGTTAATTGTTCTAACTGTCAGGAAGTTTCTCCTTAGTTCTAGGTTGCTTCTCTCCTTGATTAGTTTCCATCCGTTGCTTCTTGTCCTGCCTTCAGGCACTTTGGAAAATAGCTTGACTCCCTCTTCTCTGTGGCAGCCCCTGAGATATTGGAACACTGCTATCATGTCCCCCATCGTCCTTCTCTTCATTAAACTAGACATACCCAATTCCATCAATCTTTCCTTATATGTTTTAACCTCCAGTCCCCTAATCATCTTTGTTGCTCTTCTCTGTACTCTTTCTCGACATCTTTTTTACATCGTGGTGACCAAAACTGGACGCAGTATTCCAAATGTGGCCTTACCAAGGGATTGTAGAGTGGTATTAATACTTCACGTGATCTTGATTCTATCCCTCTGTTAATGCAGCCTAGCACTGTGTTGGCTTTTTTGGCAGCTGCAGTACACTGCTGGCTCATATTTAAATGACTGTCCACTAGGACTCCAAGATCCCTCTCACAGTTATTACTATTGAGCAAGGTACCCCCTATACTATACCT